TAAATTTATTATCTTATTGTTAGATTTAAATCTAATCACAACTTTCATAACTTACAACGTAAAATATTGAAATTTGAGTACTAATTCTAATCTATATGACCGTATTAACTTGTTGCATGTGCATATATGTATACGCTAGATATTTTTATTTTTGTGATAATTTTTTTTATTTTTCTTATTCGATCTAATTATTACATTCATTCTACTATGTTATTATATTTTAAGATCTATTAGTAATTATAAAAAGTAATATGTTACCGTTACATTTAAATATATCGTTATTTTTATGTTATTTTTCTACAGGTAAGTAATTTGTTATTTAAAACATCATTATTAGAGATCGGATCATAAAATTACCGGATATTGGACATTTGAGGAGGCAATTTCTTCAAGACATTTTGCGGATTCCGACCGGATTCCGGGAAAGTATCTTCTAAATAAAAAAGCCTATATAGAGAAAAAAATTGTAATTTATATATAATGCAAAAATAAAATATTATAGCATCATGAATATGTGTACTTATTTCTTGAACATCTGTATAATAAAAAATTAACAATTTAATTATATCAAATTTCAACCGGATATATTCCCAAATACTAATAATATCCGACAATAATCGGATATTTTTCGGATATCCGGCACTTTTTGATCCAGTAGTGTATCACTAATCATTACATATTTATTTTTTTCAGTAACAAATGGCTAATCCCATCATGAGCAATCTTTATTTATACATAAGTAGCATAAAAATTTTAATCTGCTGCATTATCATTATATATTTTATACATAAAACAGATAAAAAAAAATAAAAATAAAAAAAAATTTAAAAAAATAGAAATAACTTAATGAACCAAATTGGATTTTAAAACTTATTTTATATTATAAATTGAATGTATGATTTTTTTCTTTAATTTAGGCACAGAGTCAAATTAAGATTTCTGCCGCACCTAAAAATTGACTAATATAAATAAAAAAAAGAAAAAAATAAAGAAAGGAAGAAAAAGAAAAGAGTGAAAAAAGTATGTAGAAATAAAAGGCTAAAAAAAGAAAGTAAATCATGTTTGTCTGTTTGTGTATGTTTTACGCGAATATTTGTAACAGGTTCGCGAAAGATATTTCTTTGAATTTTAATCTTTTCTATGAACTAATTATTTAATATATGTAAGCTCTTATGCAGCTAAGATTGTGACGGTGCAATTGCTACGTCATGAATATAAATATTTGTGAATAGCAACTGATATAATATTAGATAATATTAATATCTGAGAATCTTCGTGTTAAAATGCTTATTAAAATTACATAAATGTATAACAGTAACGATATTGCATTAAAATAAGTTAAAAAATTTTTTAATTTGTTTGATCAGGAAGGTCAATGTTTATAATGTCTAAATAGTTAACACTATGTATTTCTCAGCTGAATTACCATAGGTATATAAATTAACTCTTTTAAGACTACTCTTTTAAATTTGTTAATAAAACAAAATTGTTAATATTTCTGATATAAGCTCGGTTTGCTTTAGCGCAAATATGTGCATGATCTTTTTCGCTTTGTAAATTTTTAATTTTGCTTTATCTTGCTATCAATTAATTTTGGAGATAAGGTTGTTAGCGAAAACAAAGAGAGACTCCATGAAAAGAAAAACAATCCTGCCTAGTGAAAAAATTTCGTCGAAAT